CTATACAAATATTGAATAATTGATAAAGCGTTTGTTAGTATGTTTTGTTCATAAATCTTGTCCTTAATGATTATTTCAATCACTCTATACAAACTATTGAGTAATTGGTAAATGTTTGTTAGTGTATTTTGTTCATAGATCTTGTCCTTAATGCTTACTTCAATATAATCATGTATTTTTCCGCAAAAATATCCACAAATCGCCAAATCAATTTCTAAATAAGGATAACACGCACCCAACCCACCAATAAAATTGGATATTTTCATAATGCTGCGCAAATTTGCAGATATTTTTGTGGAAAAATACATGATTTTTTGGAAAGTTATATGATCAATGGGTACGATTCCAAATAATTTCAGATGACATTATCATAAGCATATTCTACAGTAAGTTGCAAAATCCAAGTTATTTAACATGAGTGTTACCACCGATTCTCAAAAGATTAAAAAAGTTTTAAAAGGCAATTAAGCACACAATTAACTCAAAAAGCAACTTTTATGAGGAAAATTCAGTTGTTTTCACTGAGATACGACATAATGAAAATCCACATAAAGCTCTCGAAACATCTCCCAGAGCTTGGTCTTATTGATTAGAGGCAATTAATTGTTACATAAGTTAATATTAAATATTTTTCAACCCGAGAAAAAAAATTCTTGCATATTTGAAGCTTGCCTTTTATAAAATAGGAGTTACTGTTCTATAAAGATTTATTATTGATTAAAAAACCTTTTAAATTTGTGATTAAAAGAAATATTACAATATTACTAATATCATAAAAATTATATATAAATATGGAATTATCATAATTTTTTTTAAATAAATGGCTTTCACTTATAATTCATCATGTGAATACATTTTCGTAGTAATTGAATGCAGAACGGCCTTCAATTCATTTGATTTTTTATCGAAATCTTCTTTAGTAGCTGAATTTGAAAAATAATCAACCCAATCACGAGTTTTCTTGATTGCATCTTTGATGATTTTCTCATCGTTATGACTGAATTTCTTTCCTAACAGACCCTTGATGAAATAAATATAATTATCAAGTTCATTTTTTGCATCAATTCTCTCTTTTTGAATCCTATCTTCTATAGCAAATTGTTTAGCTTCTTTAATCATACGTTCTATTTCTTCTATTGGTAGTTGTCTTTTATCACCTGTGATTGTTATAGATTCTGAGTTTCCTGTACCTACATCAACTGCAGAAACTTTCAGGATTCCTTCAACATCAATTTCAAAAGTAACTTCAATTTTAGGTACATGACGTGGTGCTGGTAGAATTCCTGCTAACATAAAACTGCCAAGAAAATTATTATCATTGGTCGAAAAACGTTCACCTTCAAATACTTTGAAATCTAGTATAGTTTGATCATCAGCAACTGTAGTGAAATTTTTTGATTTTTTAGTTGGAATAATATGATTACGAGGAATCACAGCTATCATTACATTATTAGTAATTTCAATTCCAAGAGTTAAAGGACAAACATTAACCAAAATAATATTTTTAACTTTTTCTGCACCAGACAAGATACCACCTTGAATAGCTGCACCATAGGCAACAGCTTCATCAGGGTTTATGGTTTTTATGACTTTTTTACCATCAAAAAATTCTTTAAGAAGTTGTTGAACTTTTAGAATACGTGTAGATCCACCAACTAAAACAATATCATGAACTGATGATTTCTTAACATTGGCATCCTCTAAAACCTGCTCAACAGGTGTCAATGTCTTTATAAAAAGATCATGATTTAAATCTTCGAACTTTGCCCTGGTCAAAATTTCAGAGAAATCTTTATTATCATAGAATGATTCAATCACAATACGAACTGACGCTTGAGATGATAACATACGTTTGGCCTTTTCAACCTCACGTTTTAATCTACTTATTGCTTTTAAATTTTCAGTAACATCAATATTGTATTTCTCTTTGTATAATTCAACAAAATATTTAATAACTCTATTATCAAAATCTTCGCCACCCAGATGAGTATCACCAGCAGTTGCCAAAACTTTAAATACACCATCATCAATATGTAATAAAGAGACATCAAAAGTACCACCACCAAGATCATAGACAAGAACTTTACATTCACCCTTAGATCTTGAATAACCATAGGCAATTGCAGCAGCTGTTGGTTCGCTCACAATACGAACATCAAGGTCTGCAATTTTACCTGCATCTTTTGTTGCTTGACGTTGAGCATTATTAAAATATGCTGGAACTGTGACAACAGCATGAGTAACCTTGTTTCCTAAAAATGATTCAGCAATTTCCTTCATCTTAAGTAAAATCATTGCAGAAATTTCTTCTGGCGTAAAAAGTTTTTCACTGCCTTTATACATAACGGAAATTATAGGTTTTCCATCTTTATCAATAACTTTAAATGGAAAATATTTAATATCACTTTGTACTTCTTTATCAGAAAATCTTCTTCCCATTAAACGTTTAACACCAAATATGGTATTTTCAGGGTTATTAGCAGCTTGATTTTTTGCTCCATCACCAATTAAACGTTCTTCATTTGTGAAGGCAACATAAGAAGGTGTGATACGATTTCCTTGGTCATTGGCCAAAATTTCAACTCTTCCATTTAAATATACTCCAACACAAGAATATGTCGTACCTAAATCAATACCAATAACTATAATATTTTTTTTTTATTGCAATTAAACTATTTGTTATAAGTAAATAAATATATAAACAAACAAAATGTACCTGTTTCAGCAGGTGCTGTCAATGTAGGTATTACTACTAGTAAACATAATAGTGATATTATTTTGAAGGAAGTAGCTTTCTTCATAGGCTTTTTTTTAATAAAAACGATCCTGTGAAAACATTAATATATTTGGGAATTTTGTTCCACGACATATGACAAAGGCCGATCAAATTATTTAATAAACCTTATTCGAATAGAAACCCTAACTACTACTACTCAAGATTATGATATTATTTTAGTACAAAAAGCTTAGAAATATTTAACCAATAATTTAATTACAATATAAAAGAGCTATTGGTTTGTTAAATAAGCATTAATTTTAGAAGAATATCTGATAAATATTGGCACTTTCAATATTTACTAATAGGCTTTTAGACTATATGGGGTCTGGACAATAGAAACGGACCATGTTGTGAAAATGATGTTTTGAGAAAATTTAAAAAAAAGATCTGCATTTCAAGTAA